CAGGAAAAAACTAAAAATTAAGTTTTAAATTGGAAAAGAAAGCAGAAGCAAGGTACAAATTGTACCACTACACTGTTATACAATTAACAAAACAGGCAAATGCAAAAAAACAAAAGACTAGAGGTCATCTATGTCTGGGGGAAGGGAAGAATGAGGCATGACTCCTAGTGGCAGTTACATGTTAAAGTGATAGATGGTCTAGAATTAGTGACTGGTGGTTGCAGAACTCACTAAAAATCACTGAACTATGTTCTTTCAAGAAATAAATTATGACAAACCTATTATGATAAAATTGCTACAAAATTAATACTTTATCAGTTTTATAAAATGAATGACCCAACACAGATAACTATGTAATTCCTTCTATGTTTAACTGGCACTGTCTTGAGGAATTAATAATTATGAATTAGAAAGTCAATTATGCAAATGTAAGTCTATTTATAGACTTCAACTTATTTTAATTTTCTGAAGTTTTTTCTAGTTACAGTTCATTGCAAGTTAATTTAGATGGAGCTTTCTTAAAAGTTTCTTCCTCTTATGCAGATGCCCAACAAGCATATGAAAAAATGTTCAACATCACTTGTAGTAAGGGAGAAGCAAATTAAAACCACAATGAGATACCACCTCACCCCAGTGAGAATGGCACATCTTAAAGCAATCAGCAACAACAAATGTTGGCAAGGATGTGGACACAAAGGAACTCTCCTGCACTGCTGGTGGGAATGTAAACTACTATATCCACTATGGAAAACTGTTTGGAGGTTCCTCAGACTGCTGAAAATGGAGCTTCCATATGACCCAGCAATCCCACTCCTAGGTATCTACCCAAAAGACACAAAAACACTGATTCAAAAAGATACCTGCACCCCCATGTTTATTGCTGCTTTATTTATAATTGGAAAGACATGGAAACAGCCCAAATGCCCAAAGTGGATGACTGGATTAAAAAGATGTGGTACATATACACAATGGAATATTATTCAGCAACCAAAAAGAGTAAATACATGACTTTTGCAACAACATGGATGGAGATGAAAAAGATCATGCTTAGTGAAGTAAACCAGAAAGAAAAGAAAAAATATTGGATGGTTTCACTCATAGCAGGAGTATAAAGGACCAGGGGAGAAAATAATAATAATAATAATGACCAGCTATATACCAGACATTTTATGGTGTGGAGTGGGGAATGGGATCAAAAACAGTGGGGGGAGGGAAATAGTCACTGGACTAAGATGATGGCACACAGATGATTTGGTGATGGGAAACCCACAGGGATTACAACTGAGATGGAAAAAGAGGCACAAAATGATGTTTAAAAAAAAAACTATTATATTATTTTAAAAAAATAAAGTTTCTTCCTCTTTAGAAGTACTATTTATAAGGAAATGATTAAAAAAACAGTAAGATCGATTACAGCAAATAAAGAAAACACAAAAAGGAAAATTAAAATAATTCATATTATCATCTTTAGACAACCATTATTAACTTTTTGGCACATAGCTTACATTCTTAAGCTTCTTTTTAGCATGCCAAGATAATTCAGAATACACAAACAACAACAAAAAATGTGTCCATGCCCCCAAATTCTCTACTGTACTTACAGTTTTATCTCCAGTAAAGGTAATATTTGTTCCATTCTCCTTAACCTTTAAATATTAAAAAAAAAGAAGAAAGAAAGAAAAACAATTAATTCAGAATTTTTATTTATTTTCAGAAATATTTAACAAGGAAAATAATTACCTCTTGTTTTTCTCCTAAAAGAGGTAATCGATGCACAAAGTCCCCAGAAAAGCTCTAGGAAAGAAATGTAAAACTAAAATTAAAGATGTATAATAGCAAAAGGTAGGTAAACATCTACAGAAATTTTTAAAGCAAAACAATATTATATGGCACTGACAGACAAATGGTTAACCACAGATAAGTAAATAAAACCCTGCTAGAGACTAAAAGTTTTTAAGCCAAGTTGGTTAATTTTTCTATGAGAATTATAAACATTTAAGAAAGACAAAACATTAGAGTTATGCTTAGGGTAGAGCAATCTTACAAGCCCCTCTCATTCTACATACAAGTGAAATCTTCAAAGCTTTTTTAGACACACAAATGGTTTTTGAACTTAAGATTCCTAACTCTTGGGTTCGCAGATCCTTCCATCAACCACACTTCATACCTATAAAAAAAGACACTAATTACCTGTTCTTACCAGTTTATCAGTAGATGAGGCATTCTCCCTCCCCTATTATTTACTTGAACTCTGTTATATAAGACTAGAGGGGAAAAGAAAACTGTACCAATAGAGGTAAATGCCAAGATCCTGGAAAGAAGACCCTGAATGATCTAAAAAGCAGTGAAACTTGGGCAACTTTTTAACGTAGGCAGTTTTCCATTATCAAATCCAAGAATGTTGACTCCTAGCCTAAGGGATAAATTTGATAATCAACTGAAAATCCAACTCCATTTATCCTGTCCCTAGTATTATTCATCTGCTTACCAAATATGAATTATTAAATCTTATCAATAAACCTTAATTCTAATAACTGAAGCAGAAAATCTAGATTCTGCAAGGCAATTTGTTAAATATTCAAAAGCAATGTGTAAATGTAATAAGGACAAAGCAAAACTTGGAGATACAATAACACTTCCAACACCTGTAACTTTTCTAGCCAAAATTTGGTGTCACAGGGGACTATGGGGATGGTGCACGGGTGAGTTGGTGATGGGACTACACCTGAGAGGAAAAAACATGCAATGTATAAAAAGGAAGAAGTATGTCAAATACATATTTTTTAAAAAGCACCTAACTGCAAAAATATCGTGTCAGAAAAGAAAAAAGAATTCATAATAGAAACTACTCAAATGATTATATAATCATTAAAAACACATAAGATTATTCACCTCCTCCTTTATGCAAAAGAAAGATGTGAAATTCAGCCCTTTCATTTCAGGTCTGTCCCTGTATCTAACATGGTGGATTTTTCTGGGAACATATCAATTTAGATGAAGTGACAAGAGTATTAAATATTGAGGGTTTCAACTGTCCATCAGTGGATGAATAGACAAACAAAATGTGATTTTCATACATACACACAGAGACACAGATACAGGCAAATATTACTCGGATGTAAAAGGAATTAAATTCTGATACATGCTGTATCAATTAACCAAAAATACTCTGTTAAAAGTAATGAAATACATGATTCTACTTCGTTGAGATATATCTAAAATAATCAAGTTCATAGAGACAAAAAGTGGAACAGCTGTCTCAAAGACATAGGTGGGGAGTGAAGTGTTACTGTTTATAGTTACATGACTGTCAGTTTGGGATGAGAAACAAGTACTGGAGATGCCTCTTCATTATAGCTGAACAACAAAGGTGAGCATACTTAATGCTACTAAACAGCACACATAAAAATAGTTAAAACGGCCCTCCCTAGTGGCGCAGCGGGTTAAAGCACTGCACTAAGAAGCTAAAGCCACTTCCGCATGAGTTCGATTCCCACAAGTACTGGAGATGCCTCTTCATTATAGCTGA